GTGTGTGTGTGTGTGTGTGTGTGTGTGTGTGTGTGTTTGTGTGTGTGTGTGTGTGTGTGTGTGTGTGTGTGTGTATGTGTGTGTATGTGTGTGTTTGTGTATTTATGTATGAATATGTATTATGTATGAATGAATGTATTCACTTATGTATGTATACATTTATATATATATATACAGTATGTATATATGTATGTAAGTATGTATGTATGTATGTATGTATGTATCCTTGAGACAAATGTAGAAAATAGTTATGAATAAGAATGAATTTCTTATCAACGCACGAGGTATAATAGGCGAGGTCTTATCAATAAATCATAAGAAATACCTGTATTTTTTGCTGAAAATGTAAAGCATTTTTTTCTGCATGTATGTATCCTTCCTCCCTCTCCCTTCCCTTTCCAACCTTCCTTTCCTCCCCCACCCTCTCTCTCCCCCTTCCCCATCTCCCCCGCCCTCCCTTTCTCCCTCCCTTCCCCTATCTCTCCAGTCCTCCCTCTCTCCCTCCCACCTTTCTCTCTCTCTCTCTCTCTCTCTCTCTTTCTCTCTTACTCACTCTCACCCCCCTCTCTCTCTCTCTCTCTTTCTCTTACTCACTCTCTCAACACCCCCCCTCTCTCTCTCTCTCTCACTCATCTCACCCCCCCCTTCTCTCTCTCTTACTCACTCATCTCACCCCCCCTCTCTCTCTCTCTCTCTCTCTCTCTCTCTCTCTCTCTCACTCTCACCTCCCCCCCCCCCTCTCTCTCTCTCTCTCACCTTCGCCCTATACTCATTATGTTCTTTCAATATCATCTTCTTCTCCTCCTCGCTCACGCCTTCCCTGTGTATGCCGCATGCCTTGTTCTGGGGCTGGCAGATGGAGTGACTCGGCGTAAAGGTTTCGGCATATTCGCTGCAGTCTCGGGATGGTGGCGGTGGCGGTGGCGGTGGCGGTGCGGGCGGGTCTGGAAGCGAAAGGGGGGTTTGGGTGGATGGGTTGGGGTTTTGGGTGGGTGGGTTGGGGGGGGGGGGTAGGGGGGGTTGGGAGGGTTAGTGGATGGGTGGGTGGGTTTGGGTGGGTTTGGGTGGATGGGTGGGGGGGGGGGGATGGATGGGTGAGGGTGGGGGGGTGGGGGGGTGGGTGGATGGATGGGTGGGTAAATAGGTGGATAGATGGATAAATGGATGGCTAGATGAAGAGATGAAAGTGTGTAAGTATAGAAGTATGTCTGGAAGCGAAAAGGTTACTGGTGTAAGTATGGTTGGCTGTATGCTTGTAAGTATGAAAGTGTGTAAGTATATTAGTAACTAACTTGCTAAATAATGACTTGTTAACTTGCTAACTAGCTACCTAAGTGACTAATTTGCTAACTAGATAAATAACTGACCGACTAACGTGCTAACAAACGGACGGACGAACTTGTTAACTAACAAACTACCTGCTAGTTGACCAACTTGCAAATTGATTGCCTAACTTGCTAATAAACTTACTAATTAACTAAGTTGCTAATCAACTAATCAACTAACTAATTGCCGATCTTGCTAATGAACTAACTTGTTAACTAACGAAAGAACTAACTTGCTAAGTCGCTAACTAATTTACCATTTACTAAATACTGAAGTACCCAGCTCGCTAAAAAATAAAGAAATAGATAAATAGATGAAAAAAATGAAAACTGAAAAAAATTAAAAGGGTAAGAAAGGGAAGTTTAAATAAATTGAATATGAAAAACTCAATGAAAATAAACAATAATGATAATAATAGCAATGAAATTACTATTACTAATACTAGTATTGATAATAATATTAGCAATAATAACAATAATAATCATGATAATGATAACAATAATAATAATAATAGTAGCAATAACGATGATAATATCAACAAAAATAATAATAACAAAGATAATAATAATAATAATAATAATAATACAGTAAAAGTAATGCTTGAACTATCAGTTGCCCTCACCCACATCGTCCGAACACGTGCAATCAGTCCTCGGAACAACCTCAACACTTCCCTTTTTCTTCTTCTGCTTCGCCTGACACACTAAGTCGAAACACCGCCTGGCCACTTCTTCTACGATTTCATTACTTTTGTATTTCTTATTGTTGAAGACACACCTTCCCTTCTTCTTCTTCTTTGCCCTCTCTCCCACCTTTTTCGTCCTCTTGTTGTTGTCTTTCTTGTACTTTTTCGTTTTTTTGTTATTCGCTCTGTGTTTCGATCCGCGTTTCGGTTTAGGCTTCTTGTTCAGCCTACCTTCGGAGCCCCAACGATTGAGTTGGCGCGGGCTTAGAACACCTGTGAGGTTGAGGACAGAGCGAGAGGGAGACTGACAGGCACAGGAGTTGAGGCTCGTGAAATCGAGAGTCAAAATGGCCCTCGTCTGCTTCTGTTTCCTGCCTATTCCCCCGTCGGATGCGCACGTGAGGGAACAGCAGTGATCAGGGAGGCCAAGAACTTCCTGTTGAGACGAGGGGAGGAAAAGGGTGAGGTTTATAAGCATTTCTATTCATTCTTAATTACTATTTGAGTGGTTGATTGATTGGTTTGTCTGTTTGTTTACAAGTGTATTTATTTGTTTATTTGTTCATTTATTTGTTCATTATTAATTTAAGTATTTATCTATTCTATATTAAGTGCTGGGCATTGTTTTTGTCTTTTGTCTTTTTTTTTAGTTTAGTATTTTCCAAAGGGGGCGCGAGCCTTTGGGAAAAAAGGGAATAATTTCTCTATCCTTGTTATTCTCTTAACGAGAGCATGATCACATAATGCGAAGTTCAATTATAATGCTACTAATTCATACTCATTAAAGAGATTTACAAAACATACTTTCTTTATAATCTAGGAGGGAATTTTATTTACAGATGCAAGGGAGGCGTGAAGAGAAGGACTAATTCCTAGGTTGAAAACCACTGTTTTTAAGTAATGATATTTGAACATAACGTACAAACGCAAACACGCATACACTTATATATATATATATTTCTACAGTCAGACAACAGCAGAAGCATCAACAGATATTTTCTGACACACAAGCATCGCAAAACAGAATAAACTCACGCACCTACGCACGCACACACCTGTTTTCTCAGATACACACACACACGCGCGCGCGCGCGCGTTCGAGTATAACCACGTGGAAAAGAATATATCTTTTTCATTTTTCTTTCCTTTTTTCTTTCTTTTAATTTCCTGTTTTATTTTAGTTCTCAAGGTGGATTCTAATTTAACTTAAAAAGTTTTAAATTTTTAGTTTATTTCTCACTGTGTCTAATTTCCTTCTCTATACTGTTTACTTGATATATTTTCTTTCTTTTTTTCCTTCTTTTATCTACTTTCGCATTTTCCTTTTGTTCTAATTTATATATTTTTACGTGCAACTGTGTTTTTAGTTTTGTCTAGCATAAAGTAAATAAATATAGGTATGAACTCACCTCTCCTATACTGAATTTATTTCCGTTGAATTTGCACTTTCGTTTTCCTGCATCGGCTGTAGGGAAGAAAATAAAAATATTTTTGAACTGAATATTTTTCTTTCTTTTTTTCATTTTCGTATCAACCATGGGAAAGATTTTTTATTTATATATTTCCTTTTCCCGCATTGTCTGTAGAAAAGGAAATTTGAAAGAAAGTGAAAGCTCTTCCGCATCAGCTGTGGGAGATAAAATCAAACTTTTATGTTCACTTTTTTCAGTTATACATTATCATTCTTGTCCTTATCTTTCGCATCAACTGTGGAATATAAAATAAAACTTTTTATATTCTCTTTTTTCTTATTTATATGGCATCATCCTTCGTGTTAGAATATGTCAAAACACACACCTTTTTCGTAAAATTATGTGGAAAAAAATTAAATCCATATGAACACCCATATTCTGTGATCCTTTTTATTAAGGTTCGGAGAGGTTCGAGGCTTCAAATTTGTTTCGAAATCCGTCTCGAACACCCAAATGATTCGTTTTGTTTAGGTTACAAAAGTTTCGAAGCTTCATTAACGACACGATTTTTTTCCGTGATTCTGCATTCCAACTCCTTTGTTAATCTCATATTCACACTAGGGACGTGGAGTATCTGGATTTAGACTGGGAAAAAATAACTAGGGGAGAGGAGTAGAAGTAGGATGGTAATACGTAGGGAGAAGAGATGCTGGGACATTTTGGGAAGAAGGGGGAGGAGCATAGCAAAAGACATCTTGGAAGAGTTAGCAAGAGAAAAACCTCGATGACGTGTTTTTTATCTGGCCTCGCGTAAAGTGAGGCTTGAATGCTTGAATCTAAGAGCTGTTACCTCAGACTAAAGCTTGAAGGCAGGGCAGCTCCTATAAAATATATTATGGGAACCACCATAATTGGCACATGTGCGTGATTGTGCAGAGCAATTTGAACGGTCATGTCCAAGTAGGCGCATAGTGGACAGCAGGGTGGCCTCTGGAAGGAATACTGTACTGCCACTGAACGAGGCAAGCAAGTAGGTCGTTTTCACAGTCTGACCAATCCTTGTAGACTGGGCAATCAGCAGGGGTATAAGCATTAAGGGAGGAATCAGTCAGGGTAGATAACGCACGAGCTTGGGAATAGGATGTAACCATTAGGAGGCGTGAACGACCGGAACGGCTGCGAAAGGAAACTTAGCCTATTTGGAGACATTGTTGGAAGAGAAGGGTATTGTCAGAGTACGGGGCTGTAGGAGAAATCACAAAGAATCGATCCCATGTGGCTGGACTAAAAGAGTACTTAAAATGTTTACAGGGGTAAACACAGTAGAAGGACGAGAATTGGAGGAAGAGGGACTGGTGTGGAGTGAGGTAGTACCGTTGGGAGGACAATAAGGATGAACAGTAGTAAGGAAGGGTCGAACAATGAAGAAGATTGCGAGAGAGAGTTTTAAATAAGTAAGCAATGAACAAGGGGAGGAAATGAAGTGGAGGGTGTTGGGAGAGAGGACGCGGTGTACTCAGAAGGTTGACTAATAGCCTGGGTGGATGATTCGGAATGGATAGAGTTGACAGCAAGCATCGAGGAGGGGGTAGTAGTTGCAATAACCGGAGTCGGCTCGAGAAACCACAGAAATGGAATTTGGGTTGGAGAGTTGAAGCTGCAAACTTCAATGCTCTTAATAAGGGTACAAAATCTTCTTTACTGACCATGGTGAGCCTGAAATATGTGAGGAAGAAAACCGTGCCAATGGCTTCCCGAGGCCGTTCGGGACCAGTGGCATATATAGGAAATTTTATAGGGGGGGGGGGGGGGGAATGCAGCATTTTCGTTTCTTCATGATTATTTTCCGACAAGATTAACAATTTTCCGACAAAATGGCAGTTTAGCTCTAGAGGGGTTTTCTGACACCCCTCTATCTACGCCACTGCTCAGGACTGACACAGTGCCAGCCTTTCATCCTTTCAGGACGGCTCTCTTACATCTTAGGGCGCGGACAGATTAAGGGATCAAAGAAGAGAAGGAAAGAGAACGGAGGAAAAGTAAGGACCGTGCAAAATTAGTTGAGATGAGGACTGAGGCCCAAGGTAGGGGTGATACCCTACCTTGGGCCTCAGGCTCCGTTTCCTATGCCCCCACGATAACAACGGGCATGGATTCGGGGGAGGGAGGGTATATTGATAACAATAATAATAATGATAATAATATAAGAATGATAATGATCACACTGGTAATCATAATCAAAATAATAACAATAATAGTGATCATGATGGTGTTTGTGATGGTAATAATGTTAAATAAGAATAGTGACAGTAAAACTAGTACAGTGACTCGCCTCAGAGCAATGATGGACAATAAATCGTTCCTCTTGCTCGTCCGGACAACTTGTCGGGACCAGCGGGACAACGAAGCCGCGTTCGGAACCTCGAGGCCTTCGTTGCCCACAATGCAACTGACTCCAAAGTAAACATTCACTATTTCATCATTACGGTGTCTTTATCTTACACGCTGCATAGCTTTTGTAACTCCTCTAATGCACAGATAACATACCTAGAGTAGTTCGGGGCAAAACGAATCAGAAAACGACAAAAATGCACATAAGTTTTCCAAAAATTAATAACGCAGCAGTTTTTCACTTAAAATAACAAAAGCGACTATATATTCATCACATATAATCATGATTTTGATGAAATAATCAACAATTTTAATTTTATGATCTGTTTTAAAAATATGGCATGCTGACCCATTTTACCCCGCCATATGAGGTAAAACGAGTTAGTTTGAAATATCTTCTGTAAATACAGAAATAGATTGGCAAAAACTTTAACTGCCTTTCTGAGGGACATTTCCTTTTTTTTCTTTTTTTTCTTTTTTTTGAACAGCCTCAATTGCCTGCTTCATCTGATCTTCATGCTAGTTTGCACGGTTGTTTTTTCGAAAGTAATTGCTCATGACTTTTGGTAACAGAGACACAACTAGAAAAAAAATAGACACAAATGTTCAATTCTTGTGGTAGTGGTAGGAAACTTAATATATGTTTGAAGAGACTCAGAAAAATGCTTCCTATCAATTCCGCGATGTTTCTTAGATAAAAATTATGATAGGCTTAAGATACAATAAAATATTGTCCGACTCGTTTTACCCCAAACGACATATCAAAATTGAAATTGAAGTTTTTCATAAATGGGTTTAAAATTACCATTTGGAACATATGTCAACTCATTTCTACGTGTTTTTAGTGTAAAAAAAACAAAACTAATTAAAGTCTGAGGTTAAAAAAGACAGAGCGTCCTAAAAGTTGAAAGTCGATTTAGTAAAAAAAATATTCTTTTACTCTTGAAATATTTGAAAAAATATTGCCTCACTCACCTTTTTCGTCAGGAACGTAACATAATCGCGAAAGACGGAGTTTAGGCCGATCAACTGCGTTGTTGGTTAGCATGCGTGCTTCCGTATCGGTCTTTTTTTATAATGACCCATTTTACCCCACTGACTCGTTTTGCCCCGAACTACCCTACAACTGACAAGCAAGAATACCCTTTGATAACAACAATAAAGAGGCATAAAATTACTTATCATTATCTTATAGTCGTTTACAACTGTCATTGTTTACATACAATTGTTACTGTGCCTTCAGTAGAGGCGAGATGGACGAGATGACACATTAGCATTTGTATGTAAAAAATGACAGTTGCAAGCGACCATAAGGTACTGATAGGTCATTTATGGCTATATGACAACTTGTCAAGGACGCCAAAGTAGGGATTCCGAACAAAACATCTTGTACCGAACTCATCAAGAGCAAATTTCGTATCATTAGTATTTTCATCACCATCAGCTGTCCATGTCATTCTCACTCGTCAAATGATAACTGATAATAAAAGAAAAATATCAGTTATCACTCGTCAAATGATAACCGATAATAAAAGAAAAATATCAGTTATCTTACAAAAGTACGCAATATAAGACAATCACACTCACTCACCATACGACACAGTGACCATCACTAAGATCACCATCATCAGGATTCCTCTTATTCCCTTTTCACTAGCACACCCCATCTTGACTCGATGGGAAAGGAATACTAACTGTTATAAAGTTGAAGTTTCCATCGCACATACACCAACTGTCGACACTGCAGAACACCTGTAAAGAGTTCTATTTATTTTCATTTGCGCATTTATTCTGGGAATCTGATGCCTATCAAACTGTGATGTTTGATATACATGAGTCTATATTTATTATTATTATTATTATTATTATCACTATTTTTGTAGTTATTATCATATTTGTTATTATCATTATCATTAGTATCCATTTTTTTCACTTGGTAAACCTCTCTCTTTTGCACATTTTTTTTTTTTCACTATACATCTAACTACAAACGTGTATAATTATTTTGTTTCGTATTATAAGTCTGCTTTTAAAAAAAGTTGCTGTTTCGTATTTCGATGTACGGATGATATCAAAAGCCTACCACCTGTAGTTTATCTGCAGAACACCTGTGCATTTTTTCTTTCTTTCTTTCTTTTGCGATTTGTTTGGGTGCTTCAGGTGTGTATGTGCTTTGGAAATATGGTTTCAGTTATTACCTCTCTCTCTCGTTTGCTCTTGCTCTTTTTTTTTCTCTTTCTCGTCACTTTTGTTCTCTCTCTCGTTCTTTCTTTTTCTATTTTTCGTCTCTTCTCTTCTCTCTACCTCTCTCTGGTCCTTTATTCTCTCTCTCTCTCTCTCTTCTCTCCACCTCTCTCTGGTCCTCCATGCTCTCTCTCCCTCTCCCTCTTCTCTCCACCTCTCTCTCTTCCTCCCTCTCTCTCTCTCTCTTCTCTCCACCTCTCTCTGGTCCTCCATGCTCTCTCTCCTTCTCCCTCTTCTCTCCACGTCTCTCTCTTCCTCCCTCTCTCTCTCTCTTCTCTTCACCTCTCTCTGGTCCCCATGCTCTCTCTCTCTCTCTCTCTTTTTCTCTCTCTCTCTGATAATGATAATAATAGATTGAGTGAAACAAACATATTGAGAGACAAAACGGACCAAATGGAGACTGTAATGGATTTCAATTACGAGTGATAGCTGTGTTTATCATGACAGTTAAGGCTTGTGTCAATATTCCAAGCGACTGTTTCACCTAAATTTGACTAATATTTGAATTCGTGCTCCACTCGCTCTCTTTGCTTGGTTTCGTCAGGAATACTCAAATTCCTGGAAGCAGATACCACTCACCAGGATCGAAATAAATCGACTTTGCACCTAAACTCGTAGAAATTCAGACAAGAGAAGGCCACCTGCATATCTACATTTATATTTACATTAAAAGAGAGAGAGAGAGAGGGGGAATCAGAAGAAAAAAAAATACGAACAGAATTGCATAATGAAAAATATACTTGATCAGAATCACAACATCTGGTCTGGTGCAAAAAAGGCTACAGGTGCCTCCTACGTTGGATAGGTAGTGAGAGTTGTATGTAGGCCTACAGCTTGACTCTTTAAGAAAGAAAGTACGAGAGAGTACGCCACACACGATACGATAGTCAGGGATTAAGCAGCTGATGGTTTCGACTGGCTGGTACTTCTTACGGTCTCCATCGGAACCGTGGGGCGGGGAAACATCTGTGGAACAGCTGTTTCTCCGGAAGCGTGTCATGGGAGTGTCATGAAGCGAGTCACCAACCCCTACTGTTTCCGTTGCTTGATTTAGCAACAAGCACATCTGCTTATTGACGCGCCATATTTGGACATGTAGATTGGTCATTTACGGAGAAACGAGGTTAAAGTGTTTTTTTTTTCTTTTCTTTTCTTTTTCTTTTTTTTTGTCCTGTTTCCTTGTATTTAGTGGTGTCGATTGCAATGTTTTTTTTTAATGTTTTAGAAAACCTATTGATACGCTCAGTATATATATATATGAAAGAAAATGGCATATTTGTTTCAAATGTTTTTATTTTGTTTATTCAGTTATCAGTAGATGGATAAACTTATAAAATAATATTGACCAATTTGTTGAAGGGAACCAACTGATCATTTTTTTTTTTTTTTTTCATTTTAATACATTATTATCTTGAAGTGACGTAGCAAAGTGAGGGCACAGAGAACAACTTACTATTCTCCCTCCTCTTCCCTTAAGAGCTCACCAGTTATTAAATAAACTGATAAACGTAGAGATGACGCGCGAAAAAAATATCACAATGTCTCAGATCCTGGAAACATAACATACATTCTCCACCTGCTATCCGCCCTTTGCTATAGGAATTAAAGATAAATAGATAATTAAATGAAATTAGAATAAGTAAAAATGAATAAAAATATTCTGTCTACGTATTTACATCTCTATACAGTTTAAGGATAAGTTCGATATCCGAAGCTGAGCCTTGCGCGGTCTATGAGGGGAGCCCGGCCTGTGTCGACTAATGCCGACTCGATAACGTGTGTCAGTTGTTGCTGACTTGGCTGAGCTTAGTCCATACCAACCGTGGTGCCCAGCCACAGCAGTAACCTCCAGACGACAATTGCAACTTCTCGCGCCCTCAGATGAAAGGCAGACACGTTACTGTACTAACCCGGAGGCTTAAACCTTTTACTTTCGTTGTCATTTAGAAATATCAGGACTGATGACTTTGTGTGTGTGTGTGTGTGTGTGTGTGTGTCTGTGTGCGTGTGTGCGTGTGTTTGAGAGGGGGATTGTACAGGAATGATCGTAGTTTGGTCCTTAAGAAAGATTTTTTACTCGATTCGGTCACGTGCGTGTATTCACAAGCTAAATCTTATTGAGAAACGGAGAGAGAGAGAGAGTGAGAGAGACGAGAGAGAGAGAGAAAGAGAGAGAGAGAGAGAGAGAGAAAGAGAGAGAGAGAGAGAAAGTGTGAAAGAATACACGATGAGAGAGAGAGAGAAAATACACATATACGCACACACACACACGATGAACGATGAAATGTTTACAAAAGCCGCCAATTCAAGGAAGCCAGTCTGACGCCCAACTTCTTAATCTTCCTAGAAATTTACTCAAACATCACTCACATTTTATAGGTTTATTTATTCATTCATTATTGTTACTGTTATTATTATTATTATTTTTGTTGTTATTCGTATTGTTATTGTTAATATTGTTGTTATTATTGTTATTATTATCGTTATTGTTGTTAATGTTATTGTTATTATTAATAGTAGTAGTAGTAGTATTGTTGTTGATATTACTGTTATTGTTGTTATTATTATTGCTATTATTATTATCATTATCATTATTATTATCATTGTTGTTCTTGTCATAATTTTTGTTGTTATTATTGGTATTATTGTTGTTAATGTTACTATTATTGTTATTGTTATTATTATTGTTGTTATTATTGGTATTATTGTTATTGTTATTATTATTGTTGTTATTATTGGTATTATTGATATAGTTGTCGTTATAGTTATTGTTGCTTTTATTGTTATTATTGTTATTATTTTTCTTGTCATTGTTGCTTATGTTATCATTATTTTTGCTATTGCTATTATTGTTATTATCATTATTATTGTTGTTGTTGTTATTGTCGTTATTGTCATTATCATTATTGTTATTATAATTAGTAGAATTTAATATCTGGTTAAGTTCGGACTCAACCAAGGATATTTCATTTTTACTGAGGAAGATTCGTCTTCATTGAACAGGTGTAAGGTTCCAGGCGTATATCTGCCACGACCCGATTCGTAGCTTATTTGGTGAACCGTATATGTTGATTGCTGGAACCTAGATGGAACGATTTTAACGGCATTTTTTTTTTTTTTTAGTCTGTTCTTACGGTAGATGGTAAGGGATCAGGTTAAATGTAGTCTGATTTATCCCGCCTTTTTATATGCTTTCAGCGGCTGCGAGAAATCAAAGTAACTAGCACTATGCTGTTTAGGACGACTCGAGACTGAGAAGTTGAATTTAAGCACACAATCTTAATATTCTAGCTGGAAATGAGTGGAAAGTTCTAAGATGGAACGATGTTTATTGAGGAGCAAATTACACTCACTAGGAAATTGGACAGGATCATCAGTCACGTGAAATGGTTACAGATTTGCGCATTACCAAATCATCACAGCGGAGGTGACACGCATGGAAAGCCAACACAAGACACATTCAAACGGACCCAAAGGCCTTATCATCCCTAAGTTAGCGTCCCAGTTCCATAAGTGCTTTTGTCAAGGTGTCAGCACGAAAGCATAAAGATCCCTGAATTAATGAAGTTCATCGCCAACCCAAAATGAAGATTAACTTTATGAAAAATGAGAAGAAAAAGAACTAATGCTGATAAACACTTAGTAACAATACTTGCGTAGGTTTTAAAAAAAGGTGAAAAATAAAGTGGAAACGAAGGCACAAGTAAAAAGAGCAGAAAACACGAAAGGAAATCTAAGAACATAAGAACATAAGCAAAGGACTTTCTCCCAGGAGGTACGGAGAGAGGAAATGAAAGCTAAGTGCTAACTTACTTATTAAAATGAAAAGCAACACTGGAGGTACGGTTCCTCAAGCAGTTTTCCTTCTGAGCTCTCTAGCACTTGGACAAATTCACTGAGTAAAACTTTTTGGACTATGCCAAAGAGAGTGCACCCTGCTGTTAGTCAAGTCCAAAAGAGACCATTTGCCTAATACACACAACCATGTTATTGTTGTTGCTACTATAATCATATTATCATTATTATTATTATTGTCATTATTATTATTATCATTATCATTATTATTATTATTATTATTATTACTATTATTATTATTATTACTATAATTATAACTCAGCAATCCTGGCGGCACGAAGCGAAGTAAATCCACGAAAGCACAAATATTTTCCCACTGAGAACAGGACCAACGTTCCAGACCGCAGTGAGAACCGGTTAGCTTTTAATAAATCAGTTGTGATTCGTTTGAATATTCATTTATGCTCTGTATATATTCGGTATTTTTCATTTGTGTGTATATGACTGTTTTTGCACCTGAGCAGAGAGAGAGAGAGAGAGAGATACGCTTTTGTAATTCATTAACACATGTGCACTAACGAACAAAAAAAAAAAATAAAAATCTTGAATAAAGTTTCAAAACCGCTCATGTTCTTAACAACGAAGGG